CATTTAACATTTTGTGTCAATAAATATTTAGAAAAATTTATGTTTACTTTATTTTAATATTCTTAACAACCGCGTTTATTACACAACAATCATTTCCCGTTTTAATTTCCTTTCTCGAATTTGCCGACGTAGTCAGAAAATTCGCGAAATAATATTAAAGTACGCAATGGTTCTGGTGCAATTAAGCTGTGTTAAGCTACGTGTACACACAGGGATTATAATCTGGCCAATTTAAGGTTTTAACGAATGCTGCCATTTTTTTCAAATATCATATAGTTAAAGCTGAATCGGCCGACAAATCATGTGTGTAAACGTACCTTGATGCTTTCGTTAAGTCATAACGTTCCCACAACGTTTTTACCACATTTTCACAAAGTTAAAATTGGACGTCCTTATAACGTGTTAGAAACGTTTTGACAACGTTCAAGTTACGTTCTCGCTACGTTAGCTACAACGTTGCGATAACGTTTTCTGCTGTCTACAAATTTTCGTTGTCACAACGTTGTCCCAGAACGTTCATATAACGTAAGTCCAACGTTTCCACGACGTTTTTAAAACGTAATTGTGTTAGCTGGGGAGAAAACGGCAAGTTGTTCGCTTTTTATAGCTTTTACAGGATTAAAAATACAATAAAAAAACTACCACAAATTGTTTACAGGTTAGACAATGAATTTTTAAAATTTAAAATGGTTAAAAAATATATATTTTTGAAAGAATAATCGGCCGAAAGAGCGAAGATAAAAACATAAACAAAATAGAAAAATATTGAAAATATCCGAAAAGCAAAGTCTGTGAATTCAGACTTTGTGTATATAATAAAACAGTTATTCCACTCACTCTCGTCGGCTATCAGCTCACATTCGACTCCAGTTCGTAGAATAACTGTTAAATATAGCATACTATACTTAGTACATTACAATACTTATATAATATAAAGTACTTTATATTTATAATATTTTTATATATTCAAAATTTCAAATACACATATTTCTTTGTACCTTCAAGGCATATAACATCTCCCTGTCTTTCAGCAAGAATCAAATGTGTATGATGCATTATATATTGAACACTTTCGTACCAAAAATTTTCCAAATGAGAGTAAAACTTTTGCATAAAATGCACACTGATTGCCATGATTTTCAAAGTAAATATTGTGTTTTCAAAACAATGCTGCAGGCTCGTATCTCGTAGCTCACCTGCCTTACACTTCATGTAACACATAGTATATTGGTATAAAACATGGCTGCCATTTCGTATTTTTTCGACAAACTTTTGTTGGTCGACATTTTATGTTTACACTAAGTTGCCAACAAAAAGTGCTAGAGTTTCAACAGAATACTATGTGAATACTATGATAATAATGGAACATTATTTATACAACAATGACACTGTCACAAATATATGAAGGTAAAATCAGTGATGTTGAAACTTGAAAATGATTTGGATTGTTTATATGAGAGATAAGTAAGTTTCAGTAGTATGTCTTTTCATATGGCACAGAAATGCCAACTTGGAAAGTAAAATAGTGGTGTTTATGGACATCTGAGATATGCTATAACATAAAAGTATGTCTTTTGAATGTAAAATACCCAAAAAATATCACATTCAAAATGTTTTGTTATCTCTTTACAAAATATAACAATACAATACAACAATACAACTTTATTTCACTCTTAGATAGAAATACATAAATAATACACAATTCTTAAATAATTGGTACATAGATAGAATTTATATTTTAAATAACATTTTTAGAGCTTGAAAGCTAAATGAACCGTTAGGTTTTCTATAACCAACATGGGTAAAATATTAGCTATATATATATTCGCCATTTTTGGATAGACGGTCATATTCAATGGGGCCAAAAAAACAGCATTTTAGATGTGAATTTAACTTTTTTGTTATATTTAGGTTAAAGAAAGATAAAACTTACTAAAAATAAAACTTATAGGATAATGGCAGTTAATCGACAGAATTTCTGAGGGGTGCGCCCTATCAGCGCACACCCGGTCATATCAACTTGAAAACCCCCGGTACAAATAGGGTTAATCCTTAAATTCAGTGACATTGTTAAAAAGTAATCACCGTTCTGGTTATTGTAATTATTGGTATTGTGAAAAAATTTTGACACATGCATAAACTATATGTTTTTTTATAATCAAACCATTTCATTTTATTATAAAGAGCAATCTACCGATGCAATATTCACAAAATTATTCATTGACATTGATTGAAAATAATTGAATTGGTTAGGTAATTCTTATATATAGATCGTGTTTCTGGTATTTAGTAGCTTTACTATGCCACCACATTAAAAAATTACTCAGTTTGATTCGGGTAATCTGTTGGTCTTGTTGGCGATTTTCGTCTTAATTAATGCTATTGGATAACATATTTAAATTTACTTGAGTGAGAATGGACAGTACTACAGTAGTGTGTTGCGGAAAGGCTGTTAGTAAAAACATATAACGGTTACATTTTACAAAAGAAAGGTTTAAGTTAATTATACTATCTATTACTGCTTAAAAATACTAAACATAATAAAAATAATTGTAACTTTAAGTTAATGGAACTGTCTATTTCAATTAATAATACTATCTATTAATGTATTTAAGAATATATAATTACAGTTATAATTAACAGTTATTTTCGAAATATATAAAATCCTCAGTGACTGCTGCTTTCATTATTAGAACTAGCAGAAATTATAAAAGACTTTTTAAATCGTTCAGTCTTACATTTAGGAATTTTAAAAGTTCTCGAAGTTTTCAGGGAATACGCTATGTCAGTATTCGTGTGTGGTAGGAGTGTGTGCAATTTGTTATTTTTATCTTCCATTATTTCTTTGAAGAGTTTGTCGCAAGCAATTTGACGTCTCTCTTCAAGAGTTAGAAGCTTAGAATGGGAGAGCGCTTCGGCATATGATTTGGTGGGAAATATGAATTCGTTCATTGTCTTTACACAGATATATGGGAATTCCATAATGAAAGACGGGAGATGCGTATTCGACAACTGGTCGGATACAAGTGCAGTAGAAACACATCGTCTCAGTGGTAGAAACTTTGGCACGTTTCAATTGTCGCAAAAAGTACAATCTCTTGGATGCCTTTTTAACAGTCCTATCAATATGACTATTCCACTTAAGGTCGCTGCTGATAGTCAAACCCAAAACTTTACTTTGGAAGACCAAGTCTACCTGTTTACCGTTGATTGTCACTAGGGGAGACTGCTGGTAATTAGTGTTGTATCTGCTAAATTGTATTCGCATCTCTTTATATTTGTCCTCGTTGAGGATAAATTTAAGGGTGTTGGATTGGTTTTGGATATCATCGACCTCAGATTGAATATTACTATCCCCTCCTCTGGGTATTACCTCGGCTAAAGTCGTATCGTCCACGTATTTCCAGAGGTTGTTACTGACTGTGTTGAGGTTATTGATCGTAAGATTGTATAACCAAGGACCGAGTTTGGTTCCATGGTGTACACCTACCGGGACTAGGGACCATTCTGAATAGCAGTCATTGGCCAACTTTACTCTTTGTTGAAAAAAATCTCTTACCCAAACAATCTCTTACCCAATGTGATTAGAAGCGAACTTTCTCTAAGCCTCATTTAAATGTAATAATTTTCTTTTTAGTAACGACCAGAAGGCTTTTTTTAAAAAAAATTATTAAATTGTAACAACGTTTCGGAGTTTACTCCATCATCAGGTTATATAAATGTAACGTATAAATGTGCGTATAAATGTAACCTGATGATGGAGTAAACTCCGAAACGTTGTTACAATTTAATAATTTTTTTTTAAAAAAGCCTTCTGGTCGTTACTAAAAAGAAAAAAATCTCTTACCCAATTTATAACACTCGGCGGAACGTCCAGAGAGTGGAGCTTGGTCATAAGTAACTGATGATCGATGAGATTAAATGCTTTCCTAAATTAAGTACAATAGAACAAGTCTAACTAAGGCCCCGTTGCCATCAGTAGCTTTAGCAACATTGTGGACTATGCTAATAAGAGCTTGCGTGGTAGATGATTTCGGCACTGTTCCATATTGGTTAGGATCCACCACTTTGAGAATCGTCGGTTTAATGAACTGTTCAACTACCACTTCCACGGCTAGTTTTGAGACTATTGGTGTTAACGAAACGGGCCTTAATTTAAATCCTTGTTTACAGTTCGTACAGGCTTCTGTTTTGGAATGGGAATTACATCTGCCAACTTCGAGATACTCGAGATAAGAAGAATTGAGAATCTTGAACACGGGACTTGCTAGTACATCGGCATTCTCTTTGAGAAGCCAACCAGGAATAGTGTCACGGCCATGAGCCTTCGTAGGTACTATACTGGATAATTTCGCGAAAATATACGATTCTGTGGTGGTAATTGTAGATGGTAATTGGTTACTAATGCCGGACACGTTTAAGCCTTGGAAGTGGTCAGAATTTAGAGGTTGGAACGTGTTCATTGGTTCTAGGAAGGTTTGATTTATGGTATTCGCCAAGTGTGAAAGAGATGCGTTACCCTCGTTGGTTTCATTAGTTTCATCACCAGTGGATGACAGGCTTTCAAGATGTCGAAGATCATACTTGTGGTTGACTGGATCCATTCCACACAGGTACTTAACAGATTTCCACTACTGTTTGGGATTGGGCTTTAAGTTGACTGACTTTTGATTCATAGTATTTACTCCGGCATTGTTTTCGTTCCCTATTGACGCGGTTACGAAGACTTTTAAATCACTGGTCATGTCCTTTCGCTAATTCTTTTTGACGTTGCTGAATTAAGGATTTCAAATGTTGGATCATCCATGGTGGGTCATCGAGCCATTTCTTTACAGTTTTTGTGGGAAGGAGAATGTCCATCCCAAACCGAATAATTGATTCAAAGGCAGACCATTTTTCATCACATGACGAAAATTTAGCCAAGTTAGTTAGAATTAGATCAAGGGTTCTCCTTCCACGAGTCTGGAATTTAACCAATTGTTTTAGACTGAAGTGGTTATTTAGACGATGACATTAAGATTATTAAAGTCTCCAAGTAGAATAAGACCACAATTGTAATAAGTTGATTCGATAAGGGACAATTGTGCAGTTAGGAAGTCAATCATATTTCTATCATTTGCTGAGGGTGGATGGTAAATTGAACCAATGATAATGCGAGATAGGCCCCTCGGCAATTTGTGAGGACGAGCTTTAACCCACAAGACTTCGAACTGATCATTATGGTATTGACTGAGAATTTCGAATGGGATTGACTCCTTTACATAAAGGCAAGCTCCTCCATGTTGGCCAATTAGGCGATCTCTTCTTACAACATTATATGCCGGAATCTGTATGACGTTATCATGTACAAAGTCAGTCAGCCACGTCTCAGTAAAGCACGCGAGATCAACGTCAGTTTGTAACACCAAGTGACAAACTTCATCGATCTTGGGTGCCAAAGACATTGTATTTGATAGTATAAGACTTGGAACAGGTTCGCTAATATTCGGAATAGACGATTGTTCAGCTGAGACATATTCAGCAGAAGGTAGATTTGCTGGGGACTCATTTGTCACATGAACGTTTGAGGGGTTTGAACCTAGGTCAACATTATTTAGCGTATTGTTACGGTGAACGTTATTGTTTAATACACTGGAGGTCTGGTTGTTTGTATCGACATCATTTGAGGTGGATACGGGAGCGGCCGAAGAGGGGGGTAAAACATTGGAAACTTCATCGGGGTAAAAAAAATTGGTTGATAGGAAAGGGGAGTTTGATTATGAACATAGGGGGACCCAACATATGGGGGCGAGTAGGCACCAATAGGAATTTGTTGGAATTGAGAGCGACACCTTGGGGATTGAACCTCATTGTGCAAGAAGTCGCACCTAGAACCCTTTAAACAATATCCCCTCTTTCTTAGGAAGGGGCACGGAACCAAATTCTTGGGCTGCAGTTGAGATAAACGATTAGCCGACGAGACACAATTCTCGTGTTGCATAACTTTTCTAGGTAAACTTGAATTACCGTTTGGCCTGTCAAGAATGCTCTTGTCTGCCAAACTATCCCTACCATTGTTACGCCGCAAAAGGGGTTACAACAAACAAACAAAAAATGTATTCACACTAGAAGTTACAATACGAGCATACATAGAGTTTGAGCAAACAACAATAATAGTGACAGGAAACCTGAAATAACTTTAAAGCTAAACTAGTCAGGTTTCCTATAATATTTGAATATAAAATTTAGATGAGGAATCTAAACAAGGTGTAACTACACTACGTAACTCACACACAAAAGGAAAGCATGCAACCACAAGAATCAAATTAAAAAAAGAAAAAAAACGATGCAGATCAAGTCGTTTCATATAATTTAAGATAAGATTCCTTTAACTGTCATTGATTGTTAAATCGACAGTGTTAAGGGTAGGCAATTTAACATTAATTAATTGTTCGCAGTCGTGAGATTTGTCACTCGGGCTAACAGCATGTAATGACCCTTGGGGGCTATTGTTTCCGTCACTATGCGTATTGTGGATTACTTCTTGATGCATCAAAAATTCCATAGAAAATCATTTAGATTTGAGAACCATATTTTCATCATTAATTTTGCAAATTAACTCATTTTGGCGTCGAATAACAACCTCCATATCATTTTCTTTTGTTTTTAAAGTTTTAATTTCTAACTTGATCTCCTCTAAGGGAGAGGCGCTGACAAGCAGTCGAGACTCTAAAACTGCCATGTCAAGTTTTATTCCCTCCAATTCTGCTTTGGTAACGTTGCTACCACAAGTACAATTATAACAACATACCTTGAAACCATTGAGACGCTCATTCTTGTTTGCACAAACTTTTGCAGTCGATTTTACCGCTAGTTCGTTAGATTTTAGATCGTTATCTTGAGATTTGACATCGTGTACACTTTGTGTCGCTTTATCCGCTGTATTTGAAATTACTAATGCATCCCCAGTACACGAGTCGTCAAGAGCAATAACTTCAGACTGCATTTCATTGTTTTCGTCAATTTCATACGTGTTGATTAGGCTTTGGAATAACAACTCAAGGTAGTGTTCTTCATTATCGACTTGGATTACAATCTTCTTGGAGCTTACGCCATACCATTTAATTAAGAAGTCCGATTGCTCGGAACGAAAGACTTTCGCCTCGCCACCAGGGGACGTCCAAGAGCCATGTAGCTTCAAATGTTGTTCTACAAAGCTCTTCAATTCAAGCAAAGACCAACTCCAACGATATGTTTTGCAGTCGTATGATAGCTTATTAGTACTCATCGTCTTAATATAGCTAGTAATTAAAAACTAAGACCCAAATTGAAACGAAAATTGAAGAGCCCTAGGAAAGACGTCTGAACACGATAATTAGATCATTAGAGACGGAAACTCCCTTTCTCTTAGTATGCGCGCGTTATATGCGTATGTTAAAACTGAATTAGATTGCAAATGTCACACAATGCTGTTGTAAAACATTACGTCCTACAACCTACTAAGCTGTTTGCATCTTCTTTGTTTTTCTTGATGAACTGACTAGAATGCTGATTGCACAAATTGGATTGGCGAAAAATCATTCGTGATAAAGGCGTGCATGATTAACAACGAAACACGAGTGTTTGAAGACGAAATTGGCTCATACAATGTACAGAGTCGTAATGAAGTTTTTTATTATTATTATTAATCAAAATCTTTACACACGGTAGCCTATTCAGTAACTATTAAGAGCGACTGTCCGTAAAAATCGAGCAAACAGTGGCAATAGACGAAAAATAGATTTCTTTCATATTTTGCTTAAATTTAGGTAATACCTAGTTATAAATGGTGTTTGGGTTAGATATTCAATATTTGGTCGATAAACGTACAAATATCAGAAATCAAGAATTTGTCTCCGGAAGGCTATAATTAGCTGCAGAC